GTTCAGGGTTTAGGGGTTAGGCTTTCAGGTTTAGGATTTAGGGTTTAGAGTCAGGAGGGACCCTGGGCCCCTGTAGATGATGGGGGGCCCACATGGGGACTACATGGTAGATCCCCTGATGGATGGCATCCAAAATCAAATGGAAAAGCAACCAGAGAATGAAATGAGAACTGGGCGGGGGGGCGTATAAGGACTTATAAGGCTTAGGCTCATTTTGGCTGTTTGTAGGGAATGAAGGAATGGACTATTTAGGAGTTAATCGAGGGATCCGCTGCTGCTTTCTTGAGTGGTAGCCTGTACGTTATACGGTGGTTTCCACCAAAAAAAGAGGGACTCATTATAGATCCCAATGTATTAAAGATTCTTATCGTAGAGCTCCCAATAGAGGGTCTCCAATTTTTGCAGCAACACCATAACCTGCGGGATATGCATTAAAAACAGACAAGGATCAAAAGGTAGATGCAGATCAAACAAGAATTTCAACATGGACGAAGCAAACTGGGAAATTCGATCTCGCAAGGAGCGTCTTGGAATATTTCGCCCGATTTCAAAGTCAAGTCCTGCTCCCAAGTGGACAGTCCTCATGTTTTAGGGTTTAGGGTTTAGGGTTTAGGGTTTAGGGTTTTTGCTATTCTAATGTTACGAAGTGGTACCATGAGTATATTAGTATATTACCAATAGTGTTGTCATTATCTTGCTACTACCATTGTTACTAACACTATGTTTCGATTAGACTTACTCTACTTATCATTTCTGTCAGTATCAATCACCAGGACTCTTACTACCATACATATTACAAGTATTCTTGGTAGCTTTTGAAGTGTTGCTCATGGTCTCATTAGTATTGCTATTATTCCTATGGCTGTTAACATTATGAACTTTCCTTCTTGCTATTACTATATACATCTGGATTCTTTTCCTGGCTGTTGTTATTTACATGTTTATCATCACGGTTGCTGCTCTTGCCATTAATGCTGTTCATGGAGGAAATCTTGCACCACCTATGGTCCCTAAATTACTGTGATTCCTAGTACTTTAAGGACTTTAGGTGGAGCATAATTTCCTCTACACATTCATTTTTCTAACTGTTTTAAGACGTGTTTCTAGTATTGCCAGTATTGCGGTGCAATGATTATTGGCACCGTTGCTCAGTTTGCTATTACTGGTCTTATGCCTTGTGTTATTGTTCTTCTCAATGTTCTTCTTCTAATTAGTGCTCTTCCTTATTATTGCCACATTAACCATATTAGAAGAAAGTACATATTCTGATCATCGTCCATGCTTTGCAAAATATGGATGGGGCAGTCGCAGCCCATATTCATAAGAACAAGCTGCACCAAAACGTGTCGCTATAAGAGCTGCGGATGATTGGGTTCATACTTGAGTGAAGATGTAATTTCTTTTCTGAACCTGCTTCTGTTTCCAGGCCCTGCTCTCATCGCTATCGGCAGTTTACGAATCTGCCCGTAGCGTTCATTGCCTTCAAAGTAGGCTTCTCTTGTGCCCGTGGCTAGACATCAGGAAATCTGAATGTCCTCAAATCTTTGTTGTTTGTTGCTAGTCCAGAGTAAATGCCTAGGAACGTGCTTAATTACTACTTTTTCAGACTTCTCCCAATCTTTCTTGGCCCTACCAGCCCGCAGGATTGCGATGAAGTTCATATTCGCTCGCTGGCACACCTTTGTTGCTTCCAAGGACATGCAGATGATGTGAAAGGCCAAAATAATCCTTATAATGCCCTCCTATATAAACCCTCACATAACCTCCTTTAAGGAGTTTGACCATGGCACACATGTGTCAAGTCTTAGCCTGCGTCATCCTGCAAGTTGGACATTCCCACGCTTGGTAGTGTCAGGCTCGAGTCATAGGCTAGTGAGGAAAGGGGCTTCAGCCCGCGGTGCAGACGTCATGGCTTCTGATGATGGGTGGAACCCGGACCTTTATGCTGCCTTGCTGCAAGCGCTGAGAGAAGAGCTTAGCAAGGAGTTCCAAGCTGAAGCTTAGTGTGCAAGATTTGGCAGGCTTTTTTTTGTCATGTCCTCGCAAACTGGCACGTTGTTCATACCGAGTATTGCTTTGCTGAACTTGGCAACTTGAGGAAACACAGCGTGCTATTGCGCAGTGCATGGCGCGAGTGGACGAATTGCAGTCCGAGATGCGACAGGGGAACGAGCATAAGATCGAAGTTTGTTCGGGGCAGGTCGTGAGCAAGCCTGCCGCGATAAGTCCTGAGAAGGAATCACCCCACCTAGACTTGCAGCCAACGGCAAAAGCTTGGAGTGTGCCCAGGCTTTCCAAAGTACCGTCGTGTGTTGGCGCAAGATGGGAGGTTCATGGAGTTTCCGAAAGTTTTGGGTTGGTTGCTGGGCGCGCATAGGGATCATAGCATGCCGTGATGTGTCTGGCGCACCCCGATGATTCGCAAATACTCCACCTATTTCTTCTGTGCTGCTGAGGCGCTGGAAGAGCCGAAAGAGCCAGTTCCGTTGGGGGAGTCGACGTGGAACGCATTGTTGGTCATTGGGTTCACAGGGGCTGGATGCTTCGACAGCATGGTCGCGAGTCATCGGATCTGAATTGGAGGTGTAGTAACCGTATAGTACCCTAAACCCTGAACGCAAAACCATAGCATGCGATCGGACGAGACTAACGTCTGATTGCTGGCCCCCAGAGCCTGTCCCTTTGCCTTTTGAAGGACTTAAGTAGACAGACTGTGGGGTATATGGGGATCTTATAAATTAAATGACCATATACCCCCAAGCCATATTCTATCTACTTCAGGGGGCCTATAATAGGGGTGTATTGGGGCTCAGGGTTTGGGGTCTGTACAGTCAGTTTTACGAAGGGGAGCTGCGACAAATCTTAAGCCTGCTGCTTTTGGCTTCGACCTGTCAGGAATACAATCCCTATATGACTCTCATATGGGTATTGTCCTAAATTACTGTCAATACGGGGTCCTATATTTAGGTTCCTATTATAATACGGGGCCCTATATAAATTTCCCCCATTTTGGGAACAATAATTTAGGGAAACTACCCCATATATACATATATATATGTAATGTTGGGAATATGATCCCTATATAACTCCTATGTAATGTAGCTGCCTCTGCATATCCATCAAATATAAGCTCCCCGGACTCAGCAGCCCCCAAATGTGGAACGGCCAGCTGAAGGGTTTGACGTAATGGTCCTAATACGCCTTCGCACCTCAAGACAACATCCAGATGCCCTGAGCTGTTTACGGTGGGTGCCCTGAGCTGTTTACGGCAGCAAATTACGCATCTTCGCTCAACAACCCCAATCCCCTAATTGGTGGACGGACCTCTACACTTCAAGCGTGGTCCGGATGCCAAGGTGTCGTTGTCATCGCAAGCCCTCTCATAAAGCTTGGATTCACCGTTGTGCTTCTGTCGGCATTTTTCTTGGGAGCCCCTTTGACGGAACAGACTCCTGGGCTTTGAATGGACCATTCGAAGTTAGGGTTTAGGGACAGTTGTTTTCCTTACCGGAGGGCTGCCACCGTAAACCAAAAGCTCAAAATTGCCTCTTGACAATAGCTGATCTGGCCTAACCAATATTGATTAACAAGAACAGCTTACAATGTGAACAAAAATCATTTAAAACATGTCTATGGCCTGTAAGACCCAGGATATGAGCAATATCAATAGAAAAATGCCTACAGCATGTAAGCAGCCAGGATTGGCTCCGCCCGGAGATGGCGAATGGGGGCCGCGCACGACCACAAACATCTGGATCTTGCAGGCACAAGTCTTGTGTCGCGCGTATGCAACGGAGATTCTTCCTTGATCATGTCCAACCAGCAGGCCACCTTGATTGGACAGGTGAATGCATATCTTGGCCTGACGGATTCCCAATTGACTCCTGATGGCCTGTCCCCTGGGACTGTCCTTTGCGTTCTCTGCATGTTTTGGTGGTGCCTCTATCTTTGCAGAGAGCTTCGCTCAATCCTTTCATCCGTCGAGGCTCTGTGGCATGTGCCACATGGCCCCACGGAGCTTGTTGACGGCGTCCTCTCATCCGTGTCAATGCCACGGCGTTGCTTGTTCTACACCCTTCGGTTCTCAAAGGCTGCAATCTCTTGCATGTTGCTGGGGGCTGGCATTTTATGGCTTGCAAACACTACATCTGTCGGGCGCCTTATGCTGAATGCTGTGGCCTTGAAAAGCCTCTTAGAGCTGGACACCATCGTTTACGGAGCTGTCATGCCCAGGAAATTCCAGGTCAGCATCAAGAAGCTCAAGCCCCTGCACATCCGCAACTCTGTATTGCGAAGTCAGATGGAGTCCTTGCTGCTTGTGCTGCTCTTCGCAGTCGCAATGGTTTTGACATGGTCCCAGCTGGTTGCCCCGCTTTCTGCCACGATGCAAGACTTGAAGCGTGAGTACTGTGCTGGCAACCAAGACTTTGTGGTCGGCATAAATGACCATCACGGCGTGGCTGTCGTGCGACCAACTGTGCAGTTTTCTGACGATCTCCTGTCAGGTCCTGTTGAACAAGAAGTGCGCGAATATGCTCTGTCATCAAGTCAGACCCAGCTGCTTGCAACTTTCAACAACACACGTGACTTCGAGAGGATGCGTTTGGAGACGTTCGCCACCTCTACGACGCAGTCGCTGAAATGTGATGATTTTGACAACTGGTTCCTCCGGGGCCAAGGAGATGCTATTCCTGACAGATATGCGCCATACTGGTGGTCAGCAGCCATCGGCCTAGGCTTGCCAAGCACCAGCACCTGTGCGGATATGGCCGCCCACTGCCACGATCCCGATTCACAGCTCCTGCGCATGGTCTGCAGTGTAACATGTGGGTGCACTGATCCTGCAGCCAATGCGATGTACAAGGTTCGGGCCCAGGGATGCTTGCAGCAATGTACCCAGGATTGGTTAAGATGACGTTAAAAGCAGGCATTTTTGCCTTTTGCCCGCCCTCTCGTCCCTTTTCCCCTCTTGCCCTTGTCCCCTTTTCCTTCTCTTCCACTCCCTCTCCCCCACTCCAGCTAGTTGTTGGCCTATCCTGTCAGAGTTCCTCAGCTCGACCCAGGTCGCAATGAAGTTCAGTTCTGGACAAGTGAGCTTCCCTGCGAAGATGTAGAAGCAGACTCACCGGCTTGGCAAACCTTCTGGGATCTATATCCGTCGGCTATGGAGGCATTCTATGGGGCCAGCGATTCGCAGAGATCGCAGCTTCAGACATTGGCCCAAAATATGAAGGACTCCGGCTGCAGCCTTCTGGCTCCTGATCTTGAGGCAAATGACCCGCTCACTGAGGTTCGTTTCTGCGATGGACATCCTCAGCTTTTCGCGCCTTTGAGCCAGCTTTGTCCGGCGACATGCTGTACTAGCAGCAGTGCGTTTTGCCCATCCAGCTGCAGCGCGTAGAGTCGTAGAGCAATGCCATGATAAATTTTCCAAGCTGCAGGGAGGTTTAATGCACCTCTCCCGATCGGATTTTTCTGCTAGATGGCACCGAAGAAGCCCGGCACTCACCCTCTGAAGGAGGCGTCCGCCGAGCATGTTGTACCATGAACAAAGCTGCACCAAAATGTCCCAGGGGGATTTTTCAGCCACATGGCACCAAAAGACCTTGGCACTGGCCCTCTGAAGGAGGCGTCTGCCCCGCACACTGCACCATGAAAAAAAGCTGCACCGAAATTGCCATCGGCTGCGTTGCCTTGTCGCAAGAGTGGCAAGGTGTAGGTGGCCAAGCTCACATGTCTAAAAGGGCCTACCCAGACCCCTGGGAGGATCTGAAAATTAGATCCCCTTTTATAGATCCATTATAACCCCTACATAATCCCTATATGTGTCCCCTGTGGTTCTAGGGGATCTATTTTTTTAAATCATTTTAGGGGTCTGGGAAGTTGCCTAGTTTGCATTTGGCACCTGCATGTGCGGCCCTGTTGGACCCTGCACTGCATGGAAGGAAGCTGAGCAGAAGCGTCTACAGAAGCTTCGTGAGGCTTTAAAGGGATTTATAGGGGTTATATAGGATATATGGGGGTTATACAGGGATAATGGAAGAGAAAATGGAAACTATTATAATGGGGTTATATAGGCTCATGTAGGGGTTATATAGGGTCATATCGGGATAATGGGAAAGAAAATGGAAACTACTATACTAAGAATAGGGTATATATTGGGGTTATATAGGGGTTATATCTATACGGGATTTCCTACAGATTTAGACAGAAATCGGAAAGTACAATTTGAGCTTATTGGTAGGAAGATAGATAGGCTCTTGTAATTGTAGGACTCATTCTGCTATGCTTGCTGCTACTTCTAAGGCTCACAAGTTTCTTCGGTTCCGAAGGACATGTTTGGCCATAGCATAGGTGCTGCCATGATGTGTTGTAGAAGCTCCCCACCCAGTGCCAGCAACATATGAGCTACAGTCTAAACTCCTCAAAGGGGGTTATACCGGGGAGTACTATAAGGGTTCTTAAAGGGGATACTAGGAGTTCAGCCAATGGCTCATATGGGTAGTTCCCAAACTGAGGATCCCTTTGTAGTACCCCTGCATATTCGGTGCCGTACTCACATCTATAGCCCAACCTGGCCCATAATTTGAGAACAACCCATATGGTAGTTTCCTAAATAAGGGGACCCCAATATAGACGCCAACGTACTATATTCCTTTTTATGGGGACCCCCAAAATGGTGACCATGATTCTAGGAAACCCCCATGTCGTCCAGGCTTTGCCGCCTGTCATGTTGCGCCGGCAGATCTGAACTTGGCTCTCCTTGCCTTTTTAAATAATCCCCTACCCTAATATTACAGCCCGCCTCCCACCCCTGGGGTTTAATACTATGGGGAGGGGATTAATGAAGCAAGACCCCTGAGCCAAGGGATTGCCGCAGCTTGCTTGCAGGTCTTCAAAGCTTGGTTCGAAGTACTGGTCATGGCACCCTGGCCTGAGTATATCTGCAAATTCAGCTTAAGGCTGGCCTCTCTCTTTTACTATCAACATTTTTACTAAGTGTACTATCATGATTACATTCACAACTGCTGTTGCTGCTCGTGCTGCTCTTCCACCCCACTCCCCATCCCACCTATGAACATCTTACCTTGCCAGATCTGGCCCGTACAAAACTTGGACGTGTTGAGCTTGACTCGCCCATACTTGTTCTTATTGGTGGGTGGTAGAGAATAAGGGAATGTAGCCTCCATAGAATCCCTATATGAAATATTCCCTTGTTCCCTATCAGCCCCCCAGTAAGCCTTCTGATTTCATAGTCAGATGCTTAAGATTGAATTGAGTTTCAAGATGCCTGCAGGCAGTTAGACAGAAATCCCAAACCCTGGGTAAGGCCAAGGCTAGCACTCCGAAGCCTTCTACTGGACGATGCATGTGCCTTTTTTCTTAATCGCTTCGGGCAGGGGTCTATGGATGTGTGTATCTATGATGGCTGCAGAGTTCAGGTGAAGCACAACAACATCCTCGAAAAACTGGAACAGAACAAGAAGGAGCTAGAGATCGCAAGGGCGAAGTATCAGAAGGCACGATCGAGGGTCCAGTGCTGATGATGGTCGGCGGATGTCTATGTGACAGGTCTTCTGTTGCCTTTGCAGTGTTACGCCCATACCACACCTCTCCTGATGAGGTTTCCTCAGCCAAACCGCAGTTTTGAAGCTTCGCAACTGTACGTGATCTGGGGCATAGCCATGACTTTCAGGACTACTGAGGTATACTGAGTTCCAGGCAAAGGTTGAAGGATAGTAAGACTCCATGTGTACGTCTCTTTTTTTAAAGTTCTGCAAGTGTATACTTGTTGACAAAGTGAGTGCAGCCCGGCTGCTTCATGTCAGGAAGGCATGAACATAAAGTTCTTGAGTTCAGCTCTTGTTGGTTCCTAGTCGCTTGTATGTCTGCAAAAGGGTTGGCTTCTGCAATGCAATAGGAATTTCACGAGTACAGTCATTTCTGAGGCCAAGCCCACATTTGAGTCTTGGACCTTGGGTTGGACACCTTCAAAGAATTACAGGCCACAATCACTCTATATAGACAGAACCTGGTGCTGGACCTTAGGTGGTAGGTTCTCAAGATGACCTCCGCGTAATTCCCAATAAGTAGTAACATTAATAGTAATAGTAATATTAGTAACGAGTAACACTAATGGTAGTAATAAGATGGAGATCTCACAATCCGCTTACCATCCCCACAGGGAATCACCAGGGACCAATTGGCTGCTTGAGGCTGGTCGCCGCAGTGAGTGGATGAAGGCTCGCTGCGCATCCGTGGAACTTTCCTTAGGGGCCATACCCAGACTCCTGGGAGGATCTGAAAATTAGATCCCCTATATAGACCCATTATAGCCCCTGACATAATCCTTATATGTTTTCCCCTATGGTTCTAGGTGACCTATTTTTAGATCCTTTGTTGGTCTGGGTAGGGATTTATGAGGGGATTATGGGTGTCTCGATTGGGGAGTACAGCCTCATGGCTTTGGGTCCAGGACATTTTGCATTCTGAAGGTAGACTGGATCGTTTTTAAGGAACTCAAATTAAATTATTATAAACGGTATATATAGGTGTATATATATACATATATCTATATATCTCGTAATTAAGATGGTTTCTCCAGAATAGGAACTTAAGTTAAGTTCCTTAAGTAGAACAGGGAAGGGTTTTCTGGTGATCCGTCCCTTGGTAGTCATCCGCTGCAGTGAAGGCTGCTGATGAAAGCCATCTGGGGTTTCCCAGAATTAGGGATACCCTTTAACAGGGGTTACAGCGATATATGTACATATATATATATACATATATGGGTATGTAAGGATATATAGGGTTTAGGGTTTCCTAGAATTCGGCGTACCATTTTGCGGATCCACATAATAGGGATTAGCATTGTAGAGTTTACGTTGGGGTCCCCATAGTGGGGATGATTGCATTTCAGGATCTATATTGGGGTTCCCATATTTTGGGAAATTAGTACTGGAGTCATTGTATGACACGCTATGGTGGATCTCTCCAGTGCAAAGACCTTATATACGACGCAGCACCCGTGCGTTTTTGCTTCGGCAGTCCGGCCGCAGGCTTGCAGACAAGCAGCGAAATTATGAAGCTGCCTTAGATTGATGCTTAACTTTGTTGCTACTATGTTCCGTGTTAACTCATATTATTGCAGTTTCTACTGTTCCCGTTGCATGCTCATGGCCAGATGCAAATCTACAAGATGTACGAAATGGAGTTGGACTTCTTTTGCAGCTGGGCGCCTTGGACAGCTTGGTTGTGGTTCCGACATGGGAGCCTCTCAAAATTGTTTGTAGAAAATCTTAATCAGGACCCTAACAGTCCTTCAGTATTTTCGACCCAGGTTTGATACCCATGGCCCCACAGGGCAGTTTCCCAAAATTGGGGGACCCAATGCACACCCCAAAATACAATTATCACAGGGACCCGAAAAAAGGAACCCCTAATTTTGGGGA